ACTTTCCCCTCACTATAGAAGCTCCCCTTTTCTTAACGCATCAAAACGAGAGCCCATGCTGGGACCTCCAGCTCCCTTATTTCCTCCATCCTTAACCCCACTCTTAGGTTTTCTCCTAGTTTGAACAACCATCCAAGGCCCTCTCAAGTTCTCAACATCACCTTCTTTTTCCATCGCAATATCGTCTCCCAAAGATTCCTCAGCTCCTGTGCCTGAGCCCTCACCAGCCTTCGTGGATTTGTTAAAACTATTTCTTTCCGGATTGTTTTCTTTTACTCCAAACTTTTTTTGGGTCAAAAAAGTAATAATTCACCCTCTGACGATGTCTCCAGTGTGGTCAAAAAAGAAATAATTCACTCTCTCTCTCCCATTATTTGGTTTCTACAGCCCCCTGTCTTTCATCTGTACTTTCCTGAATTAACTTGGGTAAGCAAACATGGACAAGACCCTCTCAACTCGGATTACTTGGACTTTGCAATGTGAATGCAACTCTATTAGAAAGGAGAGATGCACGTTAAGCACCATTCTTAATTAGCATTAATTGACGCTCGGCTTTGATTATTTGATTTTATAAAGAAAGATTAATTAGATGAAAAGTTCATTTCATTATTGTGCAAAAACATAGAAACAGGAAAACCAAATAGCCAATTTAAGTTTTGATCATTTCTTAATTACCAAATCCAAGTTATGTCTTCAATCCAAAGTTGCTCAAAGCTCAACTGAGCTCATCAGCAACACCATTAAACATGGCCTAACTCACAAATTAATCCCTATTAACTAACTACACAATTGCGTGTGTAAATAAAAAGTTGGGAACTTGCTTGGAATTTTGTAAGTACACCTTGGCACCCGATCACTTTGTTGAGAAAGGAAGTTTCCTTGAAATTTCCTTTCACTTTTTTGGTGGAAAACATTTGTCATTTCACTTTTGTAGTACATTACATTTCCTTGAATTAGAGTTATAAAAAATGTATTTTCTAATCATAAAAGGGCAGATACGTCAAAATGAAATAATTAGCTTTTTCCTCTTGAGAGCCTACAATTTGACGTCAGAAAGAAGACCAACCGTTTCTACCATCGGAGACTCTACAATTGACATAAGAAGACTCACCACACCGACACCAAAAAATAACTAAAAAAGAAACAAAAAAGAAACCCTGTTGTTTCTCCTCTTTTCATATGTTCCTTCAACTCTCGCGTGAATATTGTATATTTTTTTTCATTTTCTGGTGACAGTTAACTTCGCATCTTGTTTTTGGTTGGATTGGTTTGTTTTGCTGCCAATTCTCTGGCTCGTGATTGTGGTGCTGTTCCGCTGAGCTGTTGTCTGAGTTGCTGCGTTTCCATTTCATTAATCTCTTGTTTGTTTTGCTGGGTATTTGCTCTCTTCCCTTCTTCTCTTTTGCTTCATACGTTTTCAATTACCCAAAAGAAAACTAAAGCTACCATTTTCATTTTATGTATTTCCTGAGTGTTTGCCGAACCAGATTTCCAGGAACTGTCTTTTTCCCATGGCCTTGAGCACCCAAAGAGCCTCTACATCTCGTACTTCAGCTGAATGTGCTCCTCCCCATTGGAAGCATGATGTGTTTTTGAGTTTCAGGGGTGAAGACACTCGCAGGGGTTTTATATCCCATTTATACCATGAACTGCAGTACTGGCAAGCAATTAAAACTTTCAAGGACGACCGAGACCTTGAAATAGGAGCAACTATTTCTCCGGAGCTGTTGACCGCAATCGAAGAATCACATCTTGCCATCATTGTTCTCTCCCCAAATTACGCTTCTTCCACCTGGTGCTTGGATGAACTATCCAAGATTCTTGAATGCATGCAAGACACCAAGAGAATTCTACCAATCTTTTATCACGTGGATCCTTCCGATGTACGAAATCAAAGGGGGAGTTTTGCGGAAGCCTTCACTAAGCATGAAGAAAAGTTTAGGGTGGTGAATTGGAGGAGAGCTCCTTTAAGAAAAGTAGCCACTCTCTTCAGGTGGGATTCAAAGCATGAAGAGTTTATTGGAGATGTAGAGATGGTGAACCGGTGGAGAGCCGCTTTAACAAAAATAGCCAATATCTCTGGGTGGGATTCAAAGAATTATCCGTAAGCATGCATGGATTAACAACTTGCTTGTTTCTTAACAAGAGCTCTACTTGGATGTTACGTTTCAGTTCTTGCCTTAATCAATAACCTTGGATGTTATATTTATGAATTAATGGTTATTTTAATTTTCTTCCTTGTAGGTCGGAAGCAGAGCTTATTAAACACATTGTCAAATATGTGTGGACGAAAGTGCACCCAACGTTCATGTTGTCAGGTTCTCTAGACAAGTTAGTCGGAATTGATTCTGCACTTGAGCAGCTACATTTGCAATTAGCTCCCAAAGAAAATGATGTTCGCTTTATAGGGATATGGGGGATGGGTGGGGTAGGCAAAACAACCCTTGCTAACCTAGTTTTTGAAAGACTATCCCATAATTTTGAACTTAGCTCGTTTCTATCTAATGTGAGAGAGGTTTCTGCAAAACATGGTACTCTGGTTGATCTACAAAAACAACTTCTTTACCCAATCTTAAAGGAAAATATTATCCAAGTTACGGATCAACGGTCCGGAATCTCTTTCACTAAAAGATGTTTAAGGAATAAAAAGGTTCTTATCGTCCTTGATGATGTGGATCAATTAAAACAACTTGAAACACTGGTTGGAGAGAAAAATTGGTTTGGTTGGGGGAGTAGAATTGTCATCACAACTAGAAATGAAAGTCTACTAGTTCAACATGGTATAAAAAAACTATATGAGGTCAAGGTATTAAATGATGATGAAGCTCTAGCGCTCTTCAGTCAAAAAGCCTTTAAGAAAAGTCAGCCTGAGGAAGGTTTCTTGGAATTGTCTAAGTGTTTCCTACATTATGCCAAAGGTCTTCCATTAGCTCTTGAAACTTTGGGGTGTGCTTTGTATAGGAGAGGTCAAGATACATGGAATAGTGTGTTGTATAATCTGAAGAAAATTCGTGATCCAAAAATTTTTGATTCACTAAAAGTAAGTTATTATGGACTAGAAGAGTGGGAGAAGAAATTTTTTCTCCATGTTGCATGTTTCTTTAAAGGGAGGGGTAAAGAGGAAGTAATTGAAATACTAGACAGGAACCATGACATTTCTAGTCGTGTTGTGATAGATAATCTTATTAAGAAATCTCTCTTAACTATTAAGGAAAGCGATTATGTTAGTCTTGTGAAAGTTCAGATGCATGATTTGATACAAGAAATGGCATGGGAAATTGTTCGTCAAGAGTCTATCCAAGAGCCTGGTCAACGCAGTCGTTTGTGGCTTCGCGATGATATCTCTCATGTAATCATGAACAATACGGTAAGAAGTTATGTAGAAATATTATGTTTGGAAGAAAATATATGTCATTTCTTTTAAAATGATATTAAACTTGAATGTGCAATTACCTTTTCATTTTTTTCTTAATTATTAGGGAACTGAAGCAATTGAAGCCATTGGCTTGCATTTGCCGAAATTAGAAGAGGTGCATTGGAATTGTACTGAAGCCTTCTCTAAGATGCACGGATTAAGATTTCTTGAATTTGATAATGTGATCGTTTCTTCAGCCCCCAAAGATCTTCCAAATTCCTTAAGAACTATCCGTTGGAGTTGGTACCCTTCTAAATCACTCCCATCAAGTTTCGAACCACGTTTCCTTGTTGAACTAAAGATGAGTAACAGCAAACTTTCCCATCTTTGGGATGGAGCAAAGGTGAGAGATTATTGAAATTAGAATTCTTTTATATATACATAATTTGGATATAATTGTAACTTGTTCAACTAAGTAAGGGTTTATTTTAAATTATTATTTTACAATTTTTATGTACTATACATCTGGTTGGCCTTCTTTATCTATATATACTTAATTGCAAGATTCTTGAAATACGGCATTTCGTAATGTTTTTTAATTATAATTATATCGAGTATGATTGTATTGTACCTTTTTTTAACTTGCAAGGTTTTTTGAAACTTATAATTCTACAACTTTTATGCACTGACAGGATTTACCGAATTTGAAATATGTGGATCTTAGTTCCTCTCGGGAGTTGACCAGCATCCCAGATTTCACACGCATTCCAAATCTTGAGGAATTGTATCTGTATGGTTGTAAGACATTAGGCGAGGTTCACTCGTCTATTGCAGTTCACAAAAAGCTGAAGGTTTTAAGTCTTGAAAATTGTAAAAGTATCAAGAGTCTTCCAAGTAAGTTGGAAATGGATTCTCTTGTATTCTTTTGTATTAATGGCTGCTCAAACCTGAAAAAGATTCCAGAATTTGGGGGAAATATGAAGAACTTGAAAACGATTTATCTACGTGAGACTGCTATCGAGCAAATACCTTCTACAATTGAACATCTGGTTGGCCTTGTTTTTCTATGTATAAGTAATTGCAAAAGTCTCTTGGGTCTACCAGGGGAGATATGCAATTTGAAGTCTCTTAAAACCCTCCGTGGTAGGTGTTGATGTGTAAATTGGTTTACTGATTTACTGTTACTGTTTTACTGCTTACAGCTGGAATGTCTAAGTAACAGCTTAGATGTATTTTCTGCTAGGAGAATTTTGTGTGGCTCAAATGCCTATAGGAAATTGCCAAGTGTCATACACACATTGGTGGTTCAATTTTGTACCTTTGCTGATGTAAATCGTTTGATAAAAAGAAGAGAAATATAGCTGAGCTTTTTAGCACAGCAGCTAATACGTTTTTCTGCAGAAACATATATTCTTCCAGCTCCTTCTCTCATCTCCTTCCCTTTTTCTCCCTAAAATCCAAATCAGTACCTAATACTTTAACATGGTATCAGAGAGCCAGGTTCGTTCTTGAATCTGGGTGTCGATTCCGCTGCGGGTATTTGAAGATTTCAACGCAAAATCTTCATATCCTAAATCGATTCAGTCTCACATGGCTGGTTCGGTTGGAAGGGAGTCACGAACTCCAATATTCAATGGAGAAAACTACGAGCTTTGGAGGATTCGTATGAAGACGATTCTCAGATCGTACGGAATCTGGGAATTGGTTGAAGAAGGTGTACCAATTCCAGATCCAAAAGGCAAGAAGAAGGAGACGGAGACATCAGACAAGTCGTTGTTGTCTGAGCTCTTGAAGCAAGATGCAAAGGCACTGGATCTCATCCAAGGAGCTGTTTCAGATGAGCTCTTCCCCAGAATTTCAAATGAGGTGACTGCAAAAGGAGCTTGGGATCTGTTACAGCAAGAATACAGAGGAGATGAGCGTGTTAGGTCAGTCAAACTACAAGGTTTGAGAAGAGATTTTGAGTATACTCGTATGCGTGAAGATGAATCTCTATCTGCTTATTTGACTAGACTATTTGAATTGATAAATGAAATGAAGAGCATGGGTGCCCAAATTAAAAACTCTGAAGGAGAGTTATCTAAGAGTAGAATTGTGCAAAAATTGTTGATAAGTCTTACTAAGACTTATGACCCTGTTTGCACGGTCATTGAACAGACCAAGGATTTGGATACAATAGAAGTGCAGGAGGTTGTGGCCACCCTGAAGGTGTTCGAGCAAAGGCTTGAGAGACACTCTGAAAATATTGTTGAGAAGGCATTTGCTAGTATGAGTATGAAGGGAGCCAACTCCTCATCTTCTGCAGGCAGTGGTCAATCCAAGAAGAATTGGAAGAATAAAGGAAAGAAGTGGGAAGATAAACCCAATTCGGGTGGGAAGAATGAAAACTGGAGGGGTGATCAATCTAACAAGAATGATCAGAACAAAGGAACTTGCAAACACTGTAACAAGTTGCATTATGGTGAATGTTGGTTCAAAGATAAAGTTAAGTGTCATCGATGCAGCAAATTTGGTCACATTGCTAGGAATTGCTCTAGCAATATACAGAACAAGGCTGGACCAGTTGCTCATTTTGCAGAGAATCAAACATCGGAGACAACCAACATGTTCTATGCCTCTCATTCGCTGTCAAAGCCAACTGACTTTGGTGCTTGGTATATTGATAGTGGGTGCAGTAACCATATGACAGCTCACGAGTCACTACTCTCTAACATTGATAGGAGCTTGAAGTGCAAGGTGAAGATGGGAACAGGGGAATTGGTTCAAGCTTCTGGAAAAGGGACCCTTGTAATTGAGCTGAAGGATGGTCCCAGATACATACAAGAAGTGATGATTGTACCGGGCTTAGATGAAAATCTTCTAAGTGTTGGACAAATGATTGAGCATGGCTATTGGCTAGTATTTGGTGATTCCATGGTGAACATATATGCTGATAAGGAAATGAAAGAGCTGGTGGCTAATGTTCCAATGAAAGGGAATAGATGCTTCCCTATGAAGTTTGAATTCATGAACCCCGTGATGGCAAATAAAGCAGAAGTTGAGGATCACTCATGGAAATGGCATAGAAGATTTGGTCACTTGAACTATGTTAGTCTGAAGATGCTACAAGATAAAGAAATGGTGGTTGGACTCCCTAAGTTGGAAAGTTTTAGAGATGTGTGTGAGGGTTGTGCTACGGGCAAGGCTCACAGAGAAGCATTTGACAGAACTGAAGTGTGGAGAGCTTCACAACCATTGGAGTTAGTACACTCAGATGTGTGTGGCCCGATGCAGGTCACTACAATTGGAGGAAACAGATATTTCCTCACTTTCATTGATGATCATACAAGGATGTGTTGGGTGTTCTTTTTGCAACACAAATCAAGTGTTTTCTCAGTGTTCAAAAGATTTAAAGCCATGGTGGAGTTGCAAAGTGGATTTCAGATCAAGAAGCTAAGGTCAGATAGAGGTGGTGAATACACTTCAACAGAATTCAGCAAGTTTTGTGAAGACTTGGGGCTTGAAAGGCAATTAACAGTGGCCTATTCTCCTCAACAAAATGGAGTTGCAGAGAGGAAGAATAGAACCATTGTGGAGATGGCTAGAACAATGCTTCATGAAAAGAGAATGCCTACCAAGTTCTGGGGAGAAGCAGTTAACACTACAGTCTACATTCTCAATAGGTGTCCTACAAGTGCTCTTAAGAACAAGACCCCGTTTGAAGCATTCAGTGGAAGAAAACCTGGAGTAAAGCATATGAGAGTGTTTGGTTCTCTCTGCTATACTCATATTCCATCTCAGCAGAGGCATAAGTTGGAAGAAACTGGTGAGAAAGGAGTCTTTGTTGGATATGGAACCTGTGAGAAAGGGTACAGGGTGTTTAACTTGAGAACTCAGAAAGTAATTGTGTCAAGAAGTGTGATATTTGATGAGAAATCTCTATGGAATTGGGAAACAAATGAAGATGTGCACATGTCAATTTCTTGGAACAATAGTGAGGAAACAGGGATGACTGAAGGTGAGATGGAGTTTGAGTCTCCTAATCAAACTCTATCTTCTCCATATGCCCGATCTCCATCAAATGATGCCTCACCAAGTACCCGATCTACATCAAATGAAGCTGAAACTTCTGAACTTTATGATCACACACCTGTGAAGTGGAAGAGTCTAAATGACATCTTTGCACAATGCAAAGTAAGCATTGTGGAACCTGAAAACTTTGCTGAAGCAACTCAAGATGAGGCTTGGAATCAAGCTATGAGAGAAGAGATCACAATGATCGAGAAAAATTCTACATGGGAGATGATTAACAGACCTGGTAACAAACCAGTTGTGGGTGTGAGATGGATCTTCAAGACAAAGCTGAATCTTGATGGTTCTATCCAAAAGCACAAGGCACGGCTTGTAGCTAAGGGATACACACAGAAGCCAGGAGTAGATTTCAACGAAACTTTTGCTCCAGTGGCAAGATTGGATACAATTAGAACTCTAATTGCTCTGGCTGCTCAAAGGAATTGGAAACTTTTCCAATTGGATGTGAAATCAGCATTTCTAAATGGAGTGTTGAAGGAGGAAGTTTACATCGAGCAACCTGAAGGTTTTGAAGTTAAGGGAGAAGAAGACAAGGTTTATAAGTTAAAGAAGGCCCTTTATGGCTTGAAGCAGGCACCAAGGGCCTGGTATGGTGAAATTGATACTCATCTACTCAAGTGTGGATTTCAGAGGAGTATAAGCGAAGCTACTCTGTATGTGAAGATCAAAGAAGGTATGGGTACAGTTATTGTGTCAATATATGTAGATGATATTGTTTACACTGGAAGTTGCAATGAGATGTTGAAAGAGTTCAAGGAGGATATGATGAACAAGTATGAGATGA